TCATTGTAAGTAAATTGGTTTTGTGGTCTTTTGGTATTTAACTGAATTCCCTAGTGTCTTGTTACATTTGGAAAACAGATCTTAGTGTTATAGTCCTTTACAAGTTACAGTAGAACTTGAGAACCTTGTCTTACTTCTGTGGAACAACCTAAATTCCCATTGATTTCATTGACCTGAAGCAGAATGCTTTTGACTACACTGGAATATTTTATTTTTAATTCTTAGTTGTTTAGGTATTTATCAGTGTTTCTGTGGGTTGAGATCATATGGGCAGTATATTTGAAATTACTGATTACACTTCTAACCTTGAGATGATCAAAGAATAGTTTGACTCCTTTGAAAACTGTTGTTTAAAGAAATATAAATAATTATTTGTATTGAACTGAGCAGTCAAGGAATCACTGATAATTCTTCATTCTTTACATGTGAAAGGAGGATGATTAATTTTCAGAAATGTCTACAAAGCTTTGAGCTGTCTGCATTTAATACACTACTTAAAGTTTTAAGAATTTGCCTTAAATCAGTGTGTAATTGCTGTGCTTTTGCAGTTACTGTCTATTCCTGAACTAGTGAAAACATGATGGTGGCCACTAATAGGTCATTAATAAGCTCTTAAACAGAAGTTACTATCTTTGATACTTCATCTTTCCATTCTGTTTGAATTTTATTTACACTTTTACAAAACCACTTCAGTGAATCTGCTGCTGTGGGCCTTATAGTAAATTCTGGTCAAGTTGAATCAAGTGCTTGCCACACAATTGTGTTCTGAGTTACAGGTGTTTGGTAAGGTTTGGTTTTGTTTAGTAAAAAAGTGCTGATTTGTGAGATTGTAAAGAAAGAAGTGAATTGTGAATACTAGAAGGATCTTTGATTTTTGCAAGCAACCCAAATTTAAACTGTGATTATGAATGGACCTATTTTAATCAGCTACTTTAACTACTTAAATCTAGAAGTAACTAGAGAAGACAATGTACATATGTCCATGCTGTTTACTCTAGCAAAGGCATCAAGGTAAAGTAATTATAAACCCAGTTGTCATCTACTGGCAGCTGTGTTTTCTCGATTCATAGTGGAATTTTAGGTATGAAAAATGTTAGAATACAGAAAATCAGCAGTATATATTCAGTATTAGATGGAATACTTGATTCAAGTATTGTTTGGATTTGGCTTCAGTGCAAGATGTGGCTTTCTTGAAGTAGAAGTATTTTACTGAAGCTATGTGAATGCTTTATTTTTATCTTGACAATTGTCTGTGTGGGACACTCACAAATTTCCTAATTTTAATGTCTAGACTCCCTCTAGAAGTGGTTACAGATTAGTATTGATAAATTTATTCATTTGCTGCATAGCAGGTGGAAGCCCTGTGATAGGCCCCCTCCATCCTTCTCTGTCTCCACCCTACATTGCTTCAGGAACCTCTCCTGGCTGACCCCATCCCTGAAAGTGTTCAAGGCCAGGTTGAATGGACCTTTGAGCAACCTGGTCTAATGGGAGGTATCACTGCCCATGCAGGTGGGTTGGAACTAGATGATCTTTAAGGTCCTTTCCAACCCAAATCATTCTGTGTTTTTATGATTGTGTCTCATTGACTAAAGCAGGCTTAATCAAATAAAAAGCCTGAGAGGAATAAAAAGGTAATTGGGTATTTGTATTTGCCTTATTTGTTCATACAAGCTCTGGTGGGAAACTAGTTATATATTGTAGACAGTTTGTTTCCCTGGTGGTATCCAAAATTATATATTCTCACCATAAACCCTGAAGCTCAATTTCATTCTATAAATGAAGAAGTTGAGACTACTGACAACATAATTACCAGAACATTCCAGGGAACTTAAAGTAGTAATTCAAAAGACACATTCTATTTTAGCAGAATTTCAAGGCTCTAGTTTTAATTTGTTTAAGAACTCATTGTACTTCTTGCAAATAAACATTTGTATAAAAGGTATACTTCAGACTAAAATGAGATACTGTATTTTTTCAATGTGTGCATATATATATATCTATAAATATATATCTATCTCCTTCTTCTCCATACCTGTGGCTCAGGTATCTTTTATTTTTTTGGGGAGGAGTGTGGGGAAGTCCTGATTTAGATATTATCTTGAACGAGTAGGCAACCAAGCTTATGCAGTTGGGGTCATGCTGATAATTGTTGCCCTTGCTGCTATCCTGTCAGTTGTTTTCAACTGAATTTGAGGGGTATAGAATTTCACAGTAATTAAGTCCCCAGTCTGTTTTATGGAAACAAGCCACTGGAAAGGAAGAGATTAAAATTACTGCCTTTATGTGTGGCCAGATGGTTTTCATGAGCATAACTCCAGTGAAGACAGAGCCTGTACAGAATCTTGCTCCACACACAGAACAAGACTACTTTTAAAGTGCCTCCATGCCTTTACAGTCTGATTGTTTTAGCCTTTAGCCTGTTATTTTAAACTTTTTTTTCTTAGTGATAATCTTCCACTGAGAGCAGATATTTGTATTACAATACAACTGTTAATTAAGTCCTTTATTCTGAAGGCTTTCTGTCAACTGTAAAAAAATAAGGAATATTCTTATTTGTGTAACTAGCCAGATTTGTTGGCACTAGCCTAAAATTTAGTAGCTACAGTAAAAGAGTCAGATGTCACATAGTGGGTTTGATTGATTAGTTGTCAGACCAAGTATGGGAGTTCCTTTATTTCTGGGTAGATGCTGAGCAGCCCACACTGGGATTCAAGAACCTTCATGTGTAGGGTGGCTAGGGGCAAGGCAGGTGTATGTTTTCTTTCTCATCCTAATGGAAAGGATTGTATCATCCAGCTGTGAAGTGCATGATTTACTAATTTATTTTTTTTTACAAAACTTCTTTTTCTCTGTGAAAAGCTTTCAGTTTCCTTTAACTAGTTAGACAAATGGGGTAGAGGGGAAGGCTTGCCTTTTCCTGCGGAAAACGTGTATAGGGTAATAACACTTTAGAGCTGAAACAGTTGACGGAACTCCTCTGCTGAGATGATTCATTGTACTGCAGTTTTGTCTTCTAACGTGATGTTGTTAGTAAGCTATCCATCAAAGGCTGAGCTCTGCTGCTGTAGCTTTTGTATAAAGCTAATAGAAAAATTATCTCAATGAGTGAACAATTTAAATAAAATAAAAACAAATTTTAAAAATGTAATATACGATGTCAAAACTGATAATTTAATATGGTGAGATCTAAAATAATAAGAGGCAGCTGTCCTAGCTACTCATCCAGGCCTATTTCCAATAAAGATTTTCCTTGTGCCAGTTATATATGTGGATATAATAACTGCATCAACCCTAACAAGACCTCCTGATTTTAGGAGCAACTCGCATCAGGGTTTTTTTTCCTCTTACTTTCACAGGATGTTTCCTCAGTGTAGTTTTACTTAAGTCTGTGCAAAACAAGCATTTCCTGTGATTGTTGTTTTGTCAAATATTCTTCCATTATTAAAACATAAGGAGTGCAACTCATGAGAGTGTTTAAGAGTTTTGTAATGATATTTAGGGGACACAGGGTAGGAAAAATTTATTAGGGTATGAACCTACAAATCATAGGTGTTGTGAAGTTGCTTTTTTTTTTTCTGGTAAAAAAGGGAGAAACTAGCTTGGGAAAGGGTTGCCAGAGAAGCAGGAAGGGAAACAGATACTCACAGGAAGTTACAACTAGCTAATAGGCTTCTGTACGGTAAATCACACTATAGCTTATTTCCTGGTAAATCACTCATTCTTTCAAAAACCCTTATTTGACATTTGGTCACATAAGTGGGATGTTCACTGGAAATGTGGAGGTAAATGTATTCTCTTACTTGTTTTAGAATACTTTATCCTGCTTAGAAAATAAATTGTTTCAGGCTTGAAAATGATTGGTGTGTTTTTGATGCAAAAATAAATGCCAAATTGCCTCATTGTTTAGGGATTAGAAGCAGTTATCATAGTACAGTATAAATATTGTGGAACAGTGTATATAATAATGACTGAAGCATAGTTTAGTCTATGGATGGTGAGTAGAATAGATTTTCTTGACAAGTGTTAGTTCAGTCCTTTTATTATTATTTATTTATTGTAATCACTTTTGCTTTAAAAATTCAGAATTCAACTAGGCAATCTGCAAGGCACAAACCAAAAAGATGTTTGTCATAAATGACTGTTTTGTAAGGAAAACGCCAGCATTCTGTCTTATCTAAGCTATTACTTTGATTCTTTTTTAGCATCTACCTTAGTGATAAATCACTACTTTGTGGTGATGGCAAATGGAGCATTTTGCAATTTCTTGAAAACAGAAAAAGTATTTCTCTCCATTTTATAGCCTTTGCATTTACAACTGCATCAGTGTTAAAACTGGAAGATGGATTGGGATGAATAAAAAAATACTATTGCTGTTTATTTTGTTTCTTAGCTTCCTGGTACTTGACTACTATGGTTTATCTGTCACTCTGTACTTGAAAATATTCTCCTCTGAGGAATGTCACTATATGCTTCTGTGTTGCCTTTGAAATGTGTTGTAACTGAATGAATTATATTGTCAAGTTTTTCTCCTTCACTGTTGCCAAAAGAATGTTGAATAGCATTGATGAAAATAGAACACTAATTGTTATTCACTATGCTATATAAATTGGCAAAGCGCTTCTGAGCAATGAATGTTTTAGTGCCTAAAACTTTGAGAAATGTTGGTTATTTTTGCAACATGTACCTAGAAATTATTTGGCTAGATATAAATCTGCAGTATTTGTGTAACTGTACATGTTTATAAATAGGTGGTAGCCTAATTTCTAAACAGATTGATAGTGTTTCTTCAGATGAACACACTCAGTAATATTAACCCTTTAAACTATGATACTAAATTTCTTTGTTTTTCATCTTTTAAGGATTCATAAAGTGTATAAAATACCTCCTGTAGTTCCAGATGTAGTATTTCTAATTTATTTATTTTTAATTCTGCTTTTCTCCAACAGGAAGGAACTTGAGACCTTCAAAGGTAAATTATGCTTTTTATATTTTACTTGAACATTTGTGAGAGTTTCAGCAATTATTGTATTAAGTTAAACTAGTAAGGAACTGTTCCAGTTCTATATTTGATAATGTTAATTTTATGTCAGCTCAGCAAGCTGTTAATTTTTCAGTTAACCTCTTCTTGCTACTGGTTCCTTTTGGAGAGCTATAAGTGTAGGAAGAACACAGATGGTTCTGTTGTCTTAGATAGGTTTCAGAGATTCTGTATATAACTCAAGCCTCTCCCTTGGTGTTCAGTTTCGGAAGTTAAGGGCTTTGTCTTCAAGGAGTTGATGTCTTTTCTAGTGTGAATGTGTTTTTGACATGTGTTGCAGGCTGTTACTTGTTAGACTTTTGTCTAGCTAATTCTAGGAAATTTTCACAGTATTATATTAAATCAGACCCATGTGACTTTTGTAGCTCAACCTAATGGATATACGTGATGATATATACAAATATCTGTTCTAAATAAAATGCAATGGCTAGAAACTGTTGTGTGTTATTGTTTTGTCTGTGGTGCATGGGTGGAACATGTTACCATTTTCATTAAATCTTAAATTCAGGCTTACTTTATCTATGGCTGTTAATGTTTGATCAGCTTGACAATTACTATTATATTTTTTTTTGCTTTGAATAAGGCGTGACTGTGGCTTCATCATTAGTCTTTGCTTATGAGAATGAAATCAAGTATGTTGACTTCTGTCAATTAGTTCTCTTGAAACTGAAAGGCAGGATGGAAATGTCTAACAACTGCATTTCTCTTTGCCTTTTTAGTTCATTACTATCTCCTCTCTACATAACACTAAAAAAGGAAAATAATAAAGCTAATGTTAAGAGACAGGCAACACAGATTATGTAAAATGTCACTGTAGCTTTCCATAACAACCCTTTTTTTGAATGATTTGACAGTCTTCAACACAGACTACCTCAGAGCAAAACCAAAGATAATGCTAAACTCATTCTATTCCAAAGTAAGGCAGCTACTTTGTAGCACCTGATGCTTGTGAGAATAATGAATCCATGGGTTTTTGTTTGTATTGATTAGGGGTTTAAAGGGAAATTCTGGAAGCCAGGAGGATTGTTTCCATTCTTTCTCCCTTGTTTTCTCCTTTTTTCCAGAGATTACAACTTTATTTGACAGTAAATATTTTACAAAGACAATTATTTTTATGGAAAAGGAAGGTGTTAGCTGGGTGTTGATTGTGAAAGCAACTGCTTCTGTAACGGATACAGATCTGTACAGTTTTCCAGTACTAGTTATGAAAGGCTTGTCTTGGGTAGACAAGGCTTGCCTTGGTATCCACAGTTTTTATTTTATACAAAAATGGATGCAAACAAATGCCAAATTAAAAGCCGAAGTCTTTGCATATTTCCTCACTGAAAAATTAATCTGCAGTCTGTGTCTAGTGCAGCCAAACTCAATGGGAAATGAGTAGGGTATCCTGCTATAACAAGGAAAGACCAGGTAGGAGGATGCTCTAGGTCTATGGGGCATTTTTGAACAAATTATTCTACAATACTCAAAAAGAATTGGCAGAAGCTTTAGAAGACTGGGAAAAAAACAAGCAGGTCTTTAAAATAGGCAAATCAGCCTAATTTCTGTGGTTTTTTGTACAATGAACTGATGGAAAAGCTTATACCTGACAGAACAGAGAGAAGTAATAGCTAACAAAAATTCAAGAATAGTCATGTCAAGCAAGTGTAAATTCTTTTTATAAGATGAAAACAACATCGTTCAAAAGAAACAATCAACACTGTATTTTGACTTTGCCAATAACTTTCACTGTCTTGCCAGACATTTTCCCAGGAAACTCAGATTAAGTAACTAAAAAGCAGGTACATGGCTGACTGGAAATACTTGGAGGAGATGTTATGTTTCTTGCTTACTAAGTTATTATTTCTCAGATCTAATGCTACTTGGAATTTTTGTTCTATACCTCGTTGGTGAAGTAGAGGTGTTCATGTGTTGGCTTCAGTCAGTCTTTTTTCAGTCTTTTAGACCCTCAGCCAGTTTGTGAGTGTCTAGCATATATTTCATCAGCCATTCAGAGCTTTGTGATCATGAAGGATTTGTGATTATGTAGTGAAAGATACTTTAATTCTACAGCAGCTTTGCTCAATCTAACTGCTGGCTCCTTCTTGTATTTTTCTGATTTAAGCTATGTTCTAGAATCACTAGATTTGTTCAGAAAATGATCTGCCATTTGGTTTGGTTCAGTTTTGGTTGATGAAGCACGGTGAAGTAACTCAGTACACGGTCATAGAAGTCCTGACACAGAAGAAGGAAAAGGAAGCAGCAAGAGTAGGAAACATGTCTAAGTTACCGATGAAACACAGCCAGCTAAAAAGCAAGTACTTGTAGCAGTACATTGCCTAACACATTCCGAGGCTGAGGTCAGGAAGTATTAGTACATTAGTAAAGCTTTTATGATAAGCTCTTATCTTGCTGGTAACTCTGGTTTGCTCTATTCAAGAGGGGTTGGTTCCAACCGAAATATGTTGGGTAAATGATTATTTACATTTTGTTTTGTACTTATAGGCTACAACATCAGCTAAATCATCATTACATAACTGTCCAGAGTGAAATGTGTCTGTAAGCATTCAATTTGCAAAGCACCCAGCATAGGGTCCAGGAAAGAAGAACTGTTTAAAGTACCTTTGTATACACTTGCATCCATGTGCAGTTGAAACCATTGAACATTAAATTGTGTTTTAATGGAAAAGAACAGAAATGCCGATTTTCATAATAGTAAGTAGTTATTTGTGAATTTGAATAACCATATGTTAAATAGTATTGGCTTCCAGATTAGGGATGGTAAATGTCTCGCATAAAAATATATTTCTAACATATGTTATTTCATTCTATCTGAATCTGCAGAAATTAAAGTACCACAAGAACATTCCTTAAAGGTGTTTGCCAGAGAACGTAAAAAGAAGGAGGATCATATGCATGTATTTAAGTGTCCAGCTGGGTTTTCATGCCTTGCTCAGGACAGAAAGAAAGTGGTACTGGAATTAAGACACTGACTGGTGTAGTCTGAGGGTCAAAATAGCACAGCACTGGAAATTTTAATTCAGTGATGCATTCCATCAAGTTCACAATTAATTTAAAAAAACAGTGGTTGTATATTGGCACTGACTTTGAGAATGCAGGTCTGCCTCACATGGCAGGTAGGCAACTTCATGGGTCTCTCAGATCTGTTTTAGAGCTTCTCTAGAGTTTTGTGTATATATAAATAGATATAGATACGCAGGTGTAGTCTGGATGGGACCACTGTGAATTTGTGCAATCTTCAAATGTGTATAACATTATAAATATTTTTAGTGCCCCTATATGCCTAATATTTACTAATGTCTTATTTTAATATTGAACGAAAATCAACCTTCACGTAACCAAGAAACAAAACTTCTTCTGGTTTCATTTAGATCTTCCTGCTGTGTGCACTAAGGTACAAAGTGGTAATTCATTGACATCTTCAGTATATTTATTGAGGATAGCAGGTACTATCAAGAAGGGGTTCAAGCAAAGCTCAGTATGTAAGCCTGTTTGCAGCATTGAAAAGTGTTATTATCACCTTTAAGTAGCGTGAAATAAGTACATAATACTAGTTTAAGAAAACATGAATTATTTTTGTGTTTATCAATTGAGATACTTTTTTCGAATTTATTCCTGCCTTTTTTACATTTGTATAATAGTTTTTACACTCTT